GTGGGGGGGGAGTAGGGGGGGTGGAGACAGTTGACTTGCTCCGTAAGTCTCATCACAGATATGATGACCTGATTCATTCCTTCTGACTCAGTTATAAGACTAACCACCGGTTCTCCTTCCCTTTGGAAAGAGCATGTGGAGGGGAAAGGAAGTGTGTTAAACATACTGGAATGGATGTTAAAAGACTCGGGATGAGGGCTAGAAAACGGTTTCTCCTGGAGAATAGTGTTTTATTTAATGCTAGATAGCACAGAGGGTTTAAAATAAAGGAAGAATAAATTCTAAGTCATTAAGATGAGGAAAACGATAAATGGTGATACTAGTAAGAAGCCTTTAATATAAAGAACTGTCCCATTTAGAGTTGGACATTAATTAGTGCAGAGAGATTTATAAATGACTTCATTTTAATGACTCCTTTCTGTTTAGGGGTGTAGGCTTTTTCCATACAGGTCTTTCCCAAGTCGTTAACAACAGCTACCACGTGGTAATGGCCAGCACATCTCTTGCCACGGAGCAAATGAGTAACACTGAGGGGATGCCACGGCCAACACAGTAATAGTCGGACTTTCTATTAAGAAAGATCTCCTGACTGCAAGTTGGAAACATCTCTGAAAATGAGAACAGCATCTTAGAAATTCAAAGTCCTGTTTCTTCAGGCAAAGATAACCACCAGTTTTCTGGGAGAACCTTTAACCAAATACCCAAGTACCTTTAGTGTTAGCGGAGGGGAGCTGTAAGATATAATCCCTCTGAACCCATACCTCTAAGTCACTGCTCCTGGTTTACATCTCGAAAGTCTTCCTTCTAACAGGCCAAGTGTTGTCTTGCAACATCATTACATTTACTGAGAGTTTTTGGGTGGTGATGGTGGTAGGGAGCTTAAAATGTGTAGTGTTCACAAGGGCAGTGTATGTCCCACACTTCAAGACTGAGGAAGAAGAAATCATCCTAGCTTGCACAGAGAGGTAAGCATAGCATTCTAGAGCAAATCCGTACCTTCCACAAAACAGAATATCTGAGTAAGCACAAGGAAGGGAGTTTTATTGCACTAATCATGCAGAGTGAGCACACGTTGAAGGTAGGGATCATTTCACTTTGTCTAGGATCTTGAGTAAGTTGAGTGAAGATCCCAGGCCGTCTTCACCTTGGTCACTTCCCTTGGTCACTATGTGCGTGCAAAGAGTCCATTTTCAAAGTCCAGGGGGCTACTGAAAAAGAAACACCCAAAACAAAAAAAAGCAGATGAGGGTCTGCAAAAAGCCATTTACCACAAAATTACTAAAAGCTTAATGGTTTTTCTACATTTTTTGCTATGCATTTGCTATTAGATAAGCATTTCAAAAAAGAAAATGGTCATAGCCCCATGCATTTAAAAGCAGCTTCCAATAAATATGTACCATAGAGTTTTTTCCTGCATTGTGACAAGGAAGTTTTGCGAAGCAGGACAAGGAGAGCAAACCAACAGTACAACCAATTTCCTTGCTTGGTCTCTCAGACCTACAACACAGTGATGAATGCTAATAAATGGAAACAAAGTTGTCCAAGAAAAGTTGAAAATTCAAATGTATATGCACTGTACAGCAACGCTTAGAACAGGTACTGGGATTTAACAGTGTGGTAAGTCTGGCTCATGGTCTTAAGTGTTGTGTGTACTTACGCTCCTTCTTCTCCTAAGAGGGCCAAGAATTTTCTCACACGGTATTCAGGATCCATCTAAATACATCAGAAGAAATAAAGAACACAGGTTAATGGTACCTTCTAATAACTATGCACTTAATGCCAAGGAAATGCTCGGTTTCATACTTCCACCAGTGCTCTGCTGAGTCACAGAAATACATTACCTGCTCCCTGACCAGTATTCTGATACACGGCGAAGCAGATTACATCATTCAAGAGGAGTGAACAGGACTTCCTAGCACAGAGAATCACTGTGCACAAGGTTCCAAGTGACCCAGCTGGTCATTCCCAGGCACCTCAGCCAAGTGCCCCCTCAGCTAGCGCTGTGTGGGGAGGCAGCATGTCTGAGAGGACACATGTGAGACCAGACGATGGCTATTCACGGGGGTTCGAAGGGCATCCAAGTCATAGGAGTCATCCAACATATAAAAGTGAGACCAAACTTAAACCAGTTGAGGTTGATTAAATGACTAAAAAGTAGCTTATTAACTCTTCATGATCAACATATTCGCTTTTCTTAGCCTTGGTCTTCCATGCAGTTTCTTCTTTGCAATTAATGAAAAAAATGGTCATGAAAGTAAAAAAATGAAGAGTGGGGCTGACTCCCCTAACATGGCCCCTGGATAATCTGGATCTCCTGTGACAGAAAAGCATCAGGATAGGGGAGCCTGACTGGCTCAGTGGAGCATGTGATTCTTGATCTTGGGGTTGTGGGTTTGAGCCCCACGCTGGGTGCAGAGATTACTTAAAAAAAAAAAAAAAAGTATTCCTAAGTCTAGGAGAAGATAGGGGAATTTTGGTTCAGAGGCCAAGTTTAGGATATTACTAATTTTCTCTATTCATTTTCTTTTATATTCATGTTTATACTAATTTATTTAATTATATTTTGTTCTCATTGGTCCACCAGAGATCTTAAGTTATCTAAAAAATGATCATTAAAAACATCTTTAATTCCTTAAGATGAATTTTTATTGTAAGAAACATACCTAACTTTTAAAAAATGTTCCAGGGCAAGGAGTCTGTTTCCCAAGAGGGAACTCCCTGCCCTCCAGGGAGAGCTTTTAAATGTCAGTGCAGCCGTGGGTAAATGTGCACTTGGATTCCCCCTACCACCACATTTTTTTTTTTTTTTTTTTAAGATTTCTTCTCTTCTATCCCAAAAAAAACATTGAACAGAAGTTTCAAATGTATCAAAGTTAAGAGGTCAGACTACAAAGGACTAAGAAAAAGTGTGAATAGCTAACAAAAGAAACATTTTCCCTCTTTGGGAATAGAATTACATATGAATCAATTGTCAAGTTCTTTTAAAAAAATGGAACTGGCTAGAGCTCAGCTGTAGTCAGTACTTGCAGGTCTTTGCCCATTAAATATATTTAATATGTGTGAGCAACGACTTACTGACTTGCCTGTAGCTATGGAATTAAAAGTCAAGAGAAAGGGAGGAAAAAAGTAATCTAGATAAATGACTTTATTCCCTCAGGTGACATCCAGTCAGAGCAGATCCTCAGCACTGTGCAAGTTTTAACAGAATCATGTATAGTGAACAGAGAGGTAACATGACTTATATTCTGCTCAACTACATGCCTCTCCACTTAGGCTCAGTCTCTCTCAGGCAGATCTAAAGAGAATTCACTCAGCTGCACGAAATCCATTTGACAAGAAGGGGTTCAAACTCAGAGGCCTATGAAGTGTCAGTCGCTGAAGATTAGGCCTGAGTGCCCCACTCTCACTTTCTGCCCCACATACATGAGAGGCATTAAGTTGATCACTGACCTGCAGGCATCAAAGGAAGAAGGGGTAGGGACTGGAGTGAAAAGCCCACATAGTTTCTTCTATGCAATTATTGAAAAAAAATTATGCTGAAACCAAAAAAATGAAGAGTAGAGCTGACTATCTTGACAGATTTATCTTTTCCCAAGGAAAGAGCTAATACATCTGTATATGCACCTTTACCAAGGATAATCCTAAGCAAAGTGATTAGTCTGTAACTTCAATTTACATTCATCGTGGAAAATAAATTTCAGTCCGGCTGAATGTTCAATACATTCAACTTTAGGTTTCTGAAAGCCACAATTTTGTTTTAAAATAAATGTTCCAGCAAACTAAAAAGCATTCACTTCGTGTTCTCCATTTGTTATTGGTCCAAGAGCCTATTTCAGGTGTAACCGTGAAACTTCACTTCTACCACCCACTGCTCACGGGGCCGGGATGGCAGGACTGAGCAGTGACACATTAATAATGCCAACAGCGCGGCCAGTCTGTCCACCAATGACCTGGGATGGACCCACCTGACTACAGTTCACTGAGCGCCCTACTGTGTGTCCGGCTCTGTTCCAGCGACTGTGGATTCCAATAGTGAGTGACAGCCAAGGTCCCTGAACTCATAGAACTTGGCAGGAATACATTTATTATCTAACCAGTGTGTCAGGTAAGGATAGGAAGACATAGGATGGACATGTGGAGGGGTAGAGTTCCCAAAGGAGGAAAGGTAAGTTGCCAGTAGACGTGAGAAAGTCCCAAAGAAATTTCATCTGTCTTTGCCCAGGCACTAGCCTAGGGCTCGGTTTTCTATGTGATCCTGGATGCTTTAACCCTACAGTAGTTTGCATGAAATTTCTAGGAGCCCAGCCAGGGGAAAACATAGAGAGCCTAAGTCTACTCTGTACAATTCAATTAACTTGTCCCTTAAAACAGTCTCCCCCAGGGCGCCTGGGTGGCTCAGTTGGTTGAGCGACTGCCTTCGGCTCAGGTCATGATCCTGGAGTCCCGGGATCGAGTCCCGCATCGGGCTCCCTGCTCAGCGGGGAGTCTGCTTCTCCCTCTGACCCTCCTCCCCTCTATCTCATTCTCTCTCTCAAATAAATAAATAAAATCTTTTAAAAAAAAACAACAAACAGACTCCCAGGCCCCTTTTGGTGTAATGCACAGTAGCTTCCGGACCTCTGATAAACAACGTCATCTTCCTTCCATCAGTAATTGGCTATGTGATCCTGGATAACCCACTGACCACCTGTGGGACACTCAGTATCCTCATCTCTAAAATGGGGGCAGGGGGTGACGACAGGAGAGCAATTGCCTCTTTGAAGTCCTTTCTAGTTCTAAGATCTAATCACTCCCTAAATTAAAATTGAAAGTAACTTTATAATCTTTTTTTCTATTTCTGAATTTTAAGAAGTGAGAAAGAAAAGTACTCATAAGTTATTGTTTGGTCTCAGAAGCAGGCTACTAATAGCAACTTGAGTTCAGAAATAAGAGAATTATAACAAACTAATTAAAACCTTAGCAAAGGAGGGGCGCCTGGTTGGCTCAGTCAGTGGACCAGGCGACTCTTGATCTCGGGGTTGTGGGTTTGAGCCCCACAATGGGTGTAGAGATTACTTAAAGTCTTTAAAACAAAACAAAACCTTAGCAAAGGAAATAAAAAACCTTGGTATGTCACGAAGCTCCTGTGTCTGAATCCTATGGAGAATGCAATATCTTACCTGGAGCGACATCTCGATCAACATTAGTAACTTCTTGATGCCTATCCAGACCTTCTTCCCTTTGACTTGCTGTGAAATTGTGGTACGTTCCTTATCTTTGAAGTTGCCCAAAAGCTACAAAAACAATAAAAATGACAAAAGCACTTTTATAGTAAGTGCATCAACATTAGTTAATGCTCACATTTATCCTTAAAAGAACAGTAGTAAGAACTATCTGACTGGTTCAAGTTGACAGGATTTTCTCCTATTTTAAAATCCAACCTGACCTTCTTAAACCCATTAGGTACAATTAATGAAAGTGAAAACTGGTATCCTAAATCCTATTTTCCTAGAGATCTCCATTATAATTTAGAGATATGTTTGCTGGGGGTTGGGGGGAAAAGAAAGCTTCAACCCACAATAAATATCAGTTAAAAATTTTAGCACGTGTCAAGGCAGAGACTAAATTTAATTCTTACCCAACCTCGGCACAAGAGCTGCTCACATAATTAATCTGGAGACATTTATCATACAATATCATGCAATCTATTTTGTTGGGAGTATGCCCCAACTGCATGGGTCTTGAGGATTTTAAGAAGCTTTTACCACTGTCAAACAAATCATTACGTAACATTTTTTTCAGATCTCACCAAGTCATTTGTGTACATTGATATTAATCAAAAGTTTAATGAAGGTTATAGTTTTTAAAAATTTAACTTTGTCATCCTCAAAAGATTTAAGAAAACATTTCCATATTATGAAGTTTTTAATAAAGCAGTTTCTTTTACTTCCATTGCATTTTCGCAGTCTCTAAGGTTTTAATCACCATTCCAATTTATTAAATGCAAGTAAATGAGCGGAAAGCTATTACGAGTGACCGAATTTTCTACATATTGATTACTCTACCACTCTACCCTCTCCTTCCCCCATTCCAAGTTTCTGGCCCATGTAATTTGTATGTATCACTCCTGGTGGGCACAGAGTAATTCATTCCTGGCAGGCTGCCTATACCAAGGAATGGGAAATTCATTCACTTTCACTGACATTCATCTCTTCCTCGAATCCCTGAAACGACTGAAGGTATATCCCAGGTGCCCTATTCTAGGTTAGCACACAAACTAGGCACCAGGTGCAATGCCCGCTGCGCCCCCTTTAGCATTATTCCCAGCCCCAACTCCTTTCTAATAGACACTTCGCAATCCATTGACTCATTTTCACCTCCAGAGCCTCCAACAGCTGCTCTCCTGTAGCAATGTTGGGCACGTGGACGGTGGTGCTGAAAGCGTTCAGCATCTCCATCTCCTGAAGGACATCTTTGCGGCTAGTGGTCCCAATGATAAGAAGCTTGCGGCCCTGATCACAGGGAGAAAATGTGTTAAAATGCAGGATAAGACTGGTTAGGAACCTAGAGTAAGCTTGAACAATGTCCATTTATTTAATTGCAGAAATGTAAGTGGTTAGGCAAAAGAAAAGAAATTCAGATTTTCTTCATGAAAATCTAAAGAAAAGTATCAAGAACAGGATTCAGAAAGGCAACAGCTCCTTCTTGTCATTCACGTCAATAAAATAATGGATGAGTAAGTCAGGGAGACATACAAACCAAATAAAAAGATACTGAAGTATATGCTCTAATTCATTTCTCATGGCCAACATGGTGTACGTATGGTGGGGATTGGAAAAAAGGAAATGAATGAATGGGAGGTCTGTATCACCCACTTAGCAAAGATTTATAATGCTTTTAAGAAGGAGTAGGGTAGGGGCGCCGGGGGGGCGTAGTCTGTTAAGTGTCTGACTCTTGGTTTCAGCTCAGGTCATGATCTTAGGGTCCTGGCGCCGAGCCTCGCATGGAGCCCTGCATTAGGCTGCTCAATCAGCAGGGAGTCTGCTTCAGATTCTCTCTCCCTCTGCTCCTCGGCTCGCACTCTCTCCCTCTCAAATAAATAAATCTTTTTTTTTTTTAAAGGAGTAGGGTAACAATAATGGTTTACATTTCTGCAACACTTACCTGTAAAAGACAGGGTGCCAAGTGCTTTACATAACTGTGTCATTTAATATTTTAAAATTTGTTTTATTTTTAACCCAAACACATACAAAAAATGTTTAAAAACTATAGCAGGCCTACGCCACCATTCCTGATTCCCTCTCTGCAAAGGCAATCATTTTAAACTCTTAGCTTTCTTCTTGTATTTACCTCCTTTTCTTTAAATAACAAGGTGACACCACTATTTTTAGATTTTCGTTTTCAGCTTTAAATATTATTTACTGACCACCTATTACTGAAGATGGGGATTTAATATTGATTTTTCACAACCCCCGCCATGTGCCCCTTTTCTTGTCCTTCCAAGTGGTTATTTCATAGTCTTTGAATAAAGCTATAGTCAGTATTTATCATGATTATATAAGTATGATTGACAGCTAAGCCATGTAATATACTATTCCATTTCCTTTCCTAGGAAACATTTTATATTTGTTAGAGTTAATAACTGTCATTTTTACTCTCTACTTGTTACCAGGTACCTATTACAAGTTCATCCCCAAACACAACCATGAATATCCTTTCAATACATTCAAACATGTCAGGGAATTTTAAAGTTTGTTTGTTTAAGACATCCCCCTCCTGGAGTCCTCTATTCTCAAAGAGTCTGAATGGACTGCTGCTGCACAGCTGCAGTTCTAGAACTTTCTTCTCTCCTGTTAGATCCCCTACATCCTGGTCTTCATTTATTCCCTCTCTTCCATGCTGCATCTACTTCAATAACTTCCTGAGAGAGGGTGCACAGGAGGTAAAAACATAAAGACTTTGAATGTCTGGAAATGCTTTTATTCTACATTATTGTCCACTCTATACCTGAAAGTGCAGCTAGGCACAGAGAACAAGGCTAAAAATAATTTTCCCCTCCAGAATTTTGAAGGCATTACTCTATTGTCTTTTAATTTTCAGTGCTGCTGGCTAGAAGACTGATATTATTCTGATTTTGACTCTTTGCTTCTACTTTTTTTTTTTTTTTTAATTTTAAAGGACCTTTTCCTTACCTTTGTATTCCATAATTTTAAAATCACATACTTTGAGATAAATCTTTCTTTACTCATTCTGCTGGTGCTAGATGGGTCCTTTCTAAACTGAAAAATGATTCAGTTTTAGGAAATATCTTGGATTATTTCTTTGATTTTTCTTCTATTTGTCTTTTCTTTCTTTCTTTTGTTTTACTCCTGGTTTTTACCTTTCTCTTTCAAATACTTTTTGGGTTAGGATCAACATTATCTTCCAGGCTTTATATTAAGTTCTTTCTATAATATATTTTCATTTCTAAGAGCTCTTTCTTGTTTCTTGAATGCTTTTTTTTATTGTATTTAATGGATATGATACCTTATTTTAGATTTGTGTGACTATTACAGATTTTATAATGTTTTCTTCTGTTCTCTGCTTTGTCCTGTCGCCCCAGAGTTCTTTTTTTCCTATTTGTTCACTGGAGCTTTCCCTCAAGTATCTGGTGATTGCTGGATGACTATTCAGATTTAAGAGTTAAACTAGTGACTGGAAGCTCTGAGTCTGAGGGCTTCACTACAGGTTGATCAGATAAGACTTGGCTGATTATTGGGAGTCCTTCAAAGGTCAGGATGTGTACATTTTTCCCAGAGAAGAATCTTCCAATCTTCTTCCTGAAGGCTATAAAGCCTAGTTTCCAGCATACTGGGATTAGATGGGGGAAGGGATCTGGGTAGCTCACCATTCAATATGGAGACTCCCATTTACTCTTATTTGCAGAATGGCATCTCTTGAGATCAACATCTCATTTCATGTTCATATAATCCTGAGAATTAAGTACTTGTATTATCTCTACGTTACTGATGAAGCTATTGAATCTCACAGATAAAAGTAATTTGTTGAAGTCAAATAGCTAATATATGGTGGATCCAGGAATGGAAGCCAGATCCAGAATCCAAAACTGTATACTGCTTTTCTTGATGAAGAAAAACACATTTAAAAAAATGTTTACTTGGGGGACGCCTGGGTGGCTCAGTCGTTAAGCGTCTGCCTTCGGCTCAGGTCATGATCCTAGGGTCCTGGGATCGAGCCCCGTATCGGGCTCCCTGCTCCGTGGGAAGCCTGCTTCTCCCTCTCCCACTCCCCCTGCTTGTGTTCCCTCTCTCGCTGTGTCTCTTTCTGTCAAATAAATAAAATCTTTAAAAAAAAAAAATGTTTACTTGGAAAATGGAAGAGGAATGCATTTTAAACTATGTCACTAGATTTATGGTACACACTTACTCCACAGATAAGCCTTTAATACAATCATTAAACCTATTCATGGATCTTAGAAACTCAGGATGTTAAAATGAGAAAACAGGGGTTCCTGGTGGCTCAGTCAGTTAAGCGTCTGCCTTCGCTCAGGTCATGATCCCAGGGTCCTGGGATCAAGCCCCGCGTCGAGCTCCGTGCTCAGCCAGGGGCCTGCTTCTCCTTCTTCCTCTGCCGCTCCCCCTGCTTGTGCCCTCCTGCTCTCTCTCTGTCAAATAAATAAAATCTTAAAAGAGAGAGAGAGATAATGACAATACACTATGGACAGGTGGGAGGTATTATGCATAGGACGTCACGGTAGAGGGAGGGAACAGGTGGCAGAGAAACATCTGCTCTTTCTCTGGAACTGAGCCTTAAGGAATGAGTAGGTTGATTAGGAAGTTGAAGGGCAAGGATATTCCAAGCCAAAAGGAGCAGAAATATGTAAGTCTGAGGGCGAAATAATAAAAACAAAAATTGGGGTATTTACAAACACACAAAGACATACACATTTCTACTATCACAGAAGAGTGGTGCTTTAACATTCAACACTAAACTCCATCTGTAAACTTAGGAGCACATCCCTGAAGGCTAACAGATGGCTAAAGGCCACACAGCCTTATTATAATGAAAGGCAATTGTTATCTCTCCTTATGTTCTATAGCCCATAATTCAAACTCCCTCATCTTGCCTTCTCTCAAGGAGGGCCACACGTTGGCTGTCCCCAGAAGAACGGCATTGAGGAAGAAGCTTCTTACTCACTCCAGAAAGCTGGAATTGCCATTTTCCAAGTGAAACTTTCTCTTACATTTACCGTGACTATGCTCTTCGGAGTGTTGAAAGACTGGGAAATGTAGAGCAACTTATAATGGAAACACTAATTTATGTTTTGCTTTACTTCTTGTTTAACAAGACTGCAAACACTGCAGAGGGGTCATGACCCAGGCAAGTTCAGGCCTTGACATGTAAAGCCTCATCTTTAAGAAAACACCGAAAATCATTACCAAATAATTAAATTGTGCTGGGTCATTCTGTCTATTAATTAGTGGTAATGCTCATGAGGAAGCTTTATCATGAAAAAAACAACTCTGAGTGTGTTAATGTAGTAAATCATACTGGAGAACAGTTTGGATGAAAAGCTGCCAGCAGCATGTAATAGAAAAGCCGCCTCTAAAAATAAAAGTAGAGTTCAACCCAAGAGGGGAAATCCAACTCATTAATGTGTGGCTACTAGTCTTAAGTCTACAGCATGGAAACATGCTCCTTGATGGAAAGAAAAAAAGTAGACTAGTAACTTATTTGAGGGATAAAAAAAATTGTTCCCAGAATACTCTTTACTGAGATTTGCTAGTTCCTGATACAATAAAGAAACGGGCCTAAATAAAATGACTATCTGCCAATCGGATTATGATAAACATTGTTCCAAGGTTAAATAAGTATTAGTTAACTAATTCTTGGTACCATAAGAAGCAACTCAGGTGAAAACATTTCCATGAAAAAGGCAGGGCTCAGTCAGGTGTTGATCCTTCAAAAAAACACTTCTTTACATGATGAAGAATGAACAAAGTACTAAGCAGTATCTAAGCCTTTTGCCACACAAAGGACTAACCAGATAATCCACACCCTTTCATAGGTCCTGCCCATTGATTGGCCCCAATAAACTGATTTGTAACAAAAGTTCATGTGGAAGAAAGCTTTTTTTCTTAAATAAAAATGCCACCAATATAATACTGCAGTGAAATGGAAGGGCTGATTTTAACCTGTGAACAAAAGTAAAGTCAGTTATGCAGTAAAGAAAGGCCATTCTTTCCATATCATTCAATGCTGAGCAAGTGTAATACACCCTCGGTAAGAAGAATTAACTGGGAACAATTGGGAACCCTGAAATGGATTAAGAAGTGAGTTTAAAAGTGCAACTCAAAACTGCTGTGTGTCGGGGCCTTTATTAAACTTTATTTTCTGATTGTTAGAATCTGAGGCTTTTTCTGAGAGAGAAAAATTTCAGAATATTAAGAATTTATAAACCCAGTATGTAAAAGACTAGTCGTTCAGATCATTAACAAGAATTTACTCTGTT